TGTTCGTAAGTATCCTGTTACATATAGATAGCAAAGTCCTGGGCTTCTATTTTGATTATTATACATTTCTTTTTACTGCAGTGCCATAGTTTAAGTTCGATACTACATATGATACTAGAACACGTGTAGTAAGTAGGTATATTTTATAATGTTACGTTGAAATATGAAAAACGCAAGTATAACGTTGATGAATTTTCTATTGTTCTTTAAGATGAATTAAAGAGTCATCCCTGTGCTCATTAATAAGAGAATTTTATTCCATTCTTGTAGGCCAGGGAACTTAGGCATGCGTTGAATGATATAGACGAGACGCGCGTAGGTTGAAGCTCACAACGATATGAAGGTAGGTCCTATTGATTAAACAACTATCTAACTTATAAGAATGTTATGAGTCACCTATACACACACACACCTATTACATGGGACTCATAACATAAATAGTGAAAAGTGGGTGTTACATTGTACAGTGGCATAATGCTCACCTCTGCCTACCCCTTCGGGGATAAAAGGCGTGATGTTATGTTATGTTATGAGTCAGTGGAGAAAATATTTTTCACCCTCTACCTACTATTATCAAGAACATAGTTTACATAGTCTACAAATAATGTTAGGTGTTCTGCTTACCTGCGTGTGGTTAACAGCATACAAAGACAGATAAGTCACCAGTCCTCCAATAATCAGTGACCACCAAGTGTGTCTCTCAGTAGGATTCACGCTGAAACTGAATAAATTGGGTTAAAACACAACCTTATCTAAGGAATAATAGAATTGTAATTGAATTAATACTTACTTGGAAAAGTCAAGTCGTCCACCTTCCTTCGCGATGGCAAATATTTGTCCGAAGCTTCCAACTTGTATGGAAGCAAACACTACGACGCTGAACACAGCTCCGAACATGAGAGCTGATTGGAGGAGATCCGTAAAGAGAACTGCCTTCATCCCTCCCAAAGTTGAGTAAAACGTACATACTAATCCTACCACTAATATAGAGATCAGTCTGTCTAACCCTGTCACAGCCTCGAGTACTATAGCAGGAGCATATAAAACTATACCATTATAAAGCACCATTTGTAAAGTATAAGTCAAAGATGCCAACATTCTGATATGCGGACCGAATCGCATCTCTAAGTATTCATAAGTACTGGTTTTTTGCAGTCCAAAGAAGACTGGTAAGTACAATCTGCTGGCGATAGGGGTGGCAACTCCGTATGAAATGTTGATTACTACGAACTGCATGCCGTAATAATAGTTCTCAGCCGACACCCCTAGTAGTGTGATGGCTGACATGAACGAAGCCATTAGAGATACGGCCACTGGTAATATTGACATGTTGCGGTCTGCTAGCAGATATTCCTGTTGGAAAAAAGGTTGGTTCAGTACAGCTTTGAAAATAATAAAGGCGCATTTATATTATATGTTCTTCTAAATATCCAAATTATATTTAAAAAAATGAATATAAGCGTAAAGAAAAGATTAGAGCACATAACAGCAGCAAACTTGGCGAAATGGCAGATATTTTTTTATTGTTCTTTCAAGAACAAAAAGGTGAAAAACAAAGGTACCGATAATTGCAATTGCAGATATTAAAAAATATATAATACACTAAAACAATAAAAAAATAATATTTCAGTGCAGATAAGAAACAGGTGCATTTACCTCATTAGTGGCCTGTTTTCCTCCACTGAATCGGAAATATAGACCGATAGCTATTGATATCACCATGGTGGCCGCCATGATGGCGTAGTCCCAAACTCCGAACACCGACTGCACCATCTCGAACTGAAACAAGAAGAAAATGAACTTAAAAAAAACTAAATAAATAACATAACATATTAAAAATCATCATAATGGAGCAAAAAGTTATCACATCGAATGATCCAATTCAGATATTTACTTACTTAGAAACTTAGAAACTTAAAAGTATACTAGTAAAGTACAATATTATTAACTCGTCGAGTACCGGTTTTGTAGACACAATTATAGCACAATAGGTTGCGGTCACCGGTGGCCGCTTGGTGTTTGACATTTTAAACAGGAACTCTCGACTTAAGTGATAGGTACTTTTCAAACAAAGAGAAGTGAAAGTAAAGTACACAATTGCAAACACACTACAGTTACGAAGAAACCACAAAAACTAGAAAACTTGCATTAAAAATAAAACCACTCACTCCTAAAAGCTTCTCCAGCAACATTTTGAAAACCAGTTAAGTAATAAAGAAAAAACAAAAAAAAACTAAATGACGTAACTACAAAAAGAATCGCAATGTCATATTTGTTTGATTTTTTTCCTCTTCCTACTCAACGGAGATGTAACTAATATAATATTTGCTTAACAAATATCTTCTGCATATATACGAAGATTGTATCTGATAGTGTAAGATTATTCCTATCTTGTACCTAATAAGACTTTTATCTCGATTGTAGTGATACAAGTGCAATAATGTACCACTTGAAAAGGTTCAAGTTGGTGAGACTGAGGAAAATTGTGAAGATAAATGCATTGCGTCTATTTATATAGAGGTAGAGCTGGATATATCGAATTGGAAAACCAATGACATAAGACTTGTATTACCTAATAGAGCTTCGTCAACTGTAGATAAAGATTAAATGAATTCCACCAATAGTTAAATAGTCAACTTAATTGCATGCCCTATTTAGGGCTCGTGCAAAAAATTACGATGCGAATTGCTGCGATGCGATTTCGTGCGACAAGGCGTCTGTCTCCCAGAGTGACCATTCCTTCGACGATCGACAACCGTACTAAACGTATTTTAAATTTAAAACTACATCGTTACATGGATCGTAAAAAAGTGTGCACTTCTGTTACTGCTTAGGAGATACAAGAAAAGGAAACAAAGAAGATTTTGATGCGCGATGCGAATCAATTCGCAAGTTCTTGCGATGCAAAGGGAGCTCGCTCATTTTATGCGATGCGACGCCGAATAGCAATTAAGTATACGAACCCTTAATAATCGAAGTATACACCTCATTTTATTTTAATTAAGAACATTTACGTACTTACTCTTTATATTAAAATCACAAACGTAATCGATACAAGATTACGAGTAAGATTATCAGTTCAAAAACTATACATAAAACTCTGGTTAATGTTAAATACCATTAAGGAAAATAAATACTTCGTTTGGTTTTTAAAACTAAGCTTTCATATTTGACTAGTTAACGTTATAAATGTAACTAAGAAGTTGATTTGGCGTTCACAATTGGGTAGTTTCCAGGGTATCAAAATTAAAAATCTAATTAGTCCGTCAGTTAGATAATGAAAAAATATTATACACGTATTTTTTTATTTTCTCGTATTAAGTTGCAATACTTAGATAAAATGGCGCTAAGTTTAGGAGAGGTCGTTACGCCATAACGTGCTACAAAATGTGGCACGCTGTGACGTCACAATATTTCAAATTAATATATCGTCAAAAGTATTTAATTTTGTGAGAAAAGAAAAAATACATGTCTAAAGTTTTCCTAAATTAATTTACCAGACGGACATTAAAATAAATTTAGGAAACTACCCTATTACCTACTGGTAGCATCGTTTACATGCACGCAATAAAGAGCTTAAGATAAATCTAAATAGTTATATAGTGCATCGAAATTGCTACGTCATTTTAAAGATAAATAGGTAATAAGTATTTATGCTTGCTATTAGGTATTTAGGTAAAAAATCATACAAAGCAATTTTTTTTTCTTTAGCAAACGAGTCTCCATAACTATCTTGTCGACTATACTGCCATTATTTGTATTAAACTTTCAAACACCAAGCGGTCACCGGTGACCGCAACCTATTATTCTATAATTGTGTCTACAAAACCGGTACTCGACGAGTTAAATAGTAAAATACGTCACTAATATCAGAGCACACAATTTGATATACAATTCTATTTTTTAAAAATCGAATTGAAAAAATTAATAAACAGTACGCCTAAGTATGCGACTGGCGTTTCATTGCATGTATTGCAAAACCCAACACGCTAGCAAAAATAAGAACAAATAACAGACATTTTGCAGATGTGAATGCAGCAAAAACAAAACATCAGTCACATTACTGACTCACAAATAGAAAACCTAAAAATAGAAACTAAAAAACAAATCAACAAAAGCTCCAACTGTTGAATACAATTGACACAAGATGGCTTGAATGATAAACTCCAGATTTGTAAACGCGTCCCGATTCCTAATAATATTGAATATATTTGCATTTAGGTACCTACTTACACGTGTCTTTTTGGATAACACTAAAGTACACTACACTACTAAATTAAATACATGGCTGGCAATAAGATTTACAAACTGCTTAGACAAACAGAAAAAAATAATCTCAAAACATGCATATAAATGTTTAGGGTTCGGAACTGACTACTCTGGAAAGAACAGAAGACGTTCTCTACTGAAACGTACCTACAATATCTACACTATTATAGTCTCCTACATATTACATTCTAATATTTTCTCCAAATAAATAAATGGAACACCCCTTCAAAAAAAAAAAAGTGTTAATAAACATATTATAGGCGCAATCTGACTAAACAGACCATAATCACGGCAAAAGAATCCTAATCAGCTAATAATATACATAGATAACTACAAATAATCCGCTCAAAACATCAGCCTCTCGCTGTAGGCTTTATAACGATGCAAGGCAATCAATAAGTCGACAAACGATGGCATGATAATGAAAGCAGTGTTTAAAGCGGTCAGCCGATGTCAAGTAATCAGACGAAACTGCTGAAGAAATCACTTAAAGTTGATTGAGTCGTCTGTTTGTGTACACGTTTTATACTCGTGATCTTTATTTATGACTTACTGCAGTTATTGTCCAACTTTTTGATTTATAACTAATCGGTCAGTCTCGCGATTCGTTCCACATATAACAATTGATTATGTAAGAATTGATTGATTAGTTTAAGTTGCTCAATGTGGAAGAAATGATAAACGAGAATTTATTATAATTTATTTTTAAAAAATACGTTGCCCCCGCACTTGGTATTTCTCCTGTGTCGTTACAAACATACAAGTTCACACACATGACACCCAGACCCGAAACAACAATTTGTGGATCACACAAAAAGTTGCTCCGTGCAGGAATCGAACCCACGAAACATTCCACGGCAGCCGGTTGCCCAGCTACCGCACCAACTGTGCCGTCAATCCTTACATACTATAAAGAATGGTAAAGTTTTCATCTTCTAAACGAAGGATTTTTATGTTGAGGTCTCGTTGGATGTTGACCTTAAATTCCTTTCAATCTTACGATATTTAGGTAAGGACCTCAGTCTGGGTGGTCAAATTTCAATGAAAAACAACCAAACATGTTAAACTGTCAAACACCGTGAGGACATCGGTGACCGCAACTTATTGTTCTTTAATTGTGTCTATAATGACGGTACTCAAAGGGTATTAATCAAGAAGTCAAGTTAAAGTGATTGGTAATTAGTTCCATAACTTTGGACAAACAATAACAAAAATTCAACCAAACGTTTTGGCATCAACAGTGATACCACAGCGTTGATACCATACACATTACAAAAAAAATACCTAAGAGACAAATCAAATTGGGAGCCCAAGACAAGATAAATTCCTTACACAGAGTTGTACACAATCAAGATCACAATTCCTACAAAATTGGAACTTAAAAAGAAATAAATAACAGAATAGGCTTTAAAAGACGCAGCGACACCGGCGCGTTTTTTAGAACATTCTTTGTGACATTTTTTCTATTAAATTTTCCGTTACAATAGAAATAAAATACATAGCCACCGCTATCGAGGAGCAAAAATACAGGTATCACTGACATAACGGTATAAAGTTTTAGACAAGACAGTGCTACAGCTGCTACTAACCACTCGTGCGCAAAACTCATCGTGCGCACAGCCATCTTGTCCAGTCACGTAACCTCAGTTGATAATGTGATAATTTCATTAGTCTATCCTTTTTCTTACTTGTCAAAGAAGGTTAGTTTGTACTTCATCACCATCATATTTGCCTTAATACTTTCGACACCTTTATTAGACCTCTTGTTCTGGATAACTTTGAGTAGAGCCTGTTGCATAACAATTGTGTTTTTTATGGAATAAGCCGGTAAATGAGCAGACAGATCACCTGATGGTAAGCTATCGACGTCGCCCATAGACACTCGAAATACCAGAGGCGTTAAAAGTGCCTTTGTGTTGCCCCAACAATCGCGTTTTTACTAAATTAGGTTGTTAACTATTGTTATAATGTCGAATAAATATTGATCTTATACATCATTGATCATTCACATTTGCGATATTTGAAGCAACACTCTCTAAGGTAAAAATATTTTTGAACTTGACTAAATATCGAATTAAAGCCAATGAAATAATAATCCCTAAAATCTAGTCCTAATTGCATGTGCAGGCCCAATTACCCTCTCCTCCCCCAATCTCCCCAGTTCCTGAATCCCCAACGATCCTCAAACTCCTAATCCCCAAAAGGCCGGTAACGCACTTGTAACGCCACTGGTGTTCCAGGTGTACATGGGCGACGCCGATTGCTTACCATAAGGTGATCCGTCTGCTCGTTTACAGGTTTATGCCATAAAAAAAACCTAAATCTAATTTTACGAATATTTTATGTATAATATTTTATTAGAACCATAATAGTTAAAGATAACTTGAATTTTATCAAGAACTGACCTACATTATCGATATATTTTCGCAGTAGGCTCGCAGTGATTTTATCAATCAAATCGTTTAAGTAATCGAGTCAACCATTCGAGTTATCTTCATAGGGAACAAAGGTCTGTTCTGTCAATTCAAGTCTTGAATAATATTACATAAACGCGTATTTACAGTCAATGTATCATATACTTAAGTATAAATTATTATCTAAATTACTGCTATTTGAAATACCTAATTGGTACTTGAAAATGAAGTCTCTGTCGTAGTTATTGATATGTAGATGGTATCTGTAGCGATTTTCAATGTATCGTTTTGGTGTTTACAAACAGACGGAAAAAGTTATTCAACTACTACCCAAACAATACTATCAAAACTTCCGTGTGAATCGGATACCTTACTTCTGTCATTCGATTCAATCGGTATACCTATGCAGCACATCATAACAATTGTAAAACAATCGGTAATCAATCAAAACAAATCAAACCTAATCAAATGAAGTAAAAGAAAGTATTCTAAAAATGTATAGGTGTAAATTTATTCTCATAAATAATGAGGCATTTAAACTTAGAACAACTTAGGTATTCATTAAATCTACACTCTATGTAATTAACATTAAATTCAAAATTAGGGAATAGTTTACGTAATTAATTAACGTTTCTAGTAAATAACATACGATTACATTTAATATTTTACCGCTACTATTCTGATACTGAAGCAAATAAAACTATTTCGAATATAACAATTTACCCAATTCAATGCTTTATGCATGAATGCAATTTTATTGTACAATTTTGTGTATTAAAAAGTATGTTTAGTTAGTTAAACTGCGGCGCTTGCAAATTAAATATTGTTGATTGCAACATTTTAGCCGGCTCTACATTGCATCTACAATAAAATTCTAACACAAATAAATGTCACTTACAATTTTATTCTCTGGACAGAATTAAAATCAATCTCTTCCTTGACTCCAATCAGTTTTCCAGTTTCAGGAAATGTTTTCAACACATTATAATTGTATAACACGAACTCTTATTACATGCATTTTACATCACTTAACCTTGACTAAACAAAATAATACTGAACGGCGCGAAATATTTTTGATAACAGAAAACGTGGAATTAAATAAATGTCAAAACTCATTGAACGTTCGTTTAGGTGCAGAACACCTGGGAAATGAATATTCGGCTCGGTCGGGTCATGAGTGAATAAATTAATTGTACACTCGTTCACTGGTCCGACTCGCGTCGAGTTAACTGTCAGCAGTGGCGTGAGGTTATGTTTTTAATATCGTCCGATGTCAGTGCTTATTGATTTCCAGCCAATCAAGCGCTTTACATTTTAGCACGGGTTCGCCACGTGATCATAATTTCAGCTTGAGTTAAGATGGTCCCAGCATGTTATTTACGAGTGTTTTAACAGCAACATCTACTCAGCTATCTATTATATGTATATGAAATAGATAAGGGTATAAAATAAGTTCTTAATATTTTACAATTCTAATAAAATTACATAATCGAATAATTTCACTGAAATCAAAAATAACTTACGTAATAAGAAAAAAATAAATATTATTAACATTTATCTTCTAGACTCCGTTTTCCATATATCATCTAATTAGCTAAGTACAAAAATATCACTATTTTCCACTACGTACCAACGTGCAAAAAACAGCGCTTCAGCGCTGTAATTGTTACAAATGCGCGCGCACGTTTTAGCAACGAGGGGGAAGTTCAAAGACTTTTCTAGTTTCGCACATTTTGAATAAGCACACCTATTGCACAATGGATTATATAATACAACTTAAACAACATTAAAACTGGTCCTAAGGAGATAATTTTACTACTTTTTGTAGAAATTCACTTATCGTTAATGTACAACTAATGACATCTAGGTTTTGTATCGAGCAACCTGTTACTAGGCAACAGAGATTGCCAAGAATGTATCGCTAGGCTCCGTGTATGTATAGGTACAGACGCCAGCACATCAAACCACAAAGTTCTTTAATAGATTTCCATCCGAATTGCTAGATTATAAGGTTGAAAACCGACTGAACGAAATGACTGATTTGAAGTGCGTTCGGAGTTCGGACACTTCAGTCGATGTTCAATTGTCTCTTGTATTTATTGAATGCTACAAAAACTTCCACTGTCTTTAATTAATCAGTCAACCAGTGAAGACTTACGTATGCATGTTATAAATTAATGTGCACTCGACAAAATTGATTCACGATCCGTTTTTACTATATAACTCAAAATAACTGCCTCAGTGGCCGAGTGGTCGCAAGTGCGACTGGGTTTTAAAAAAATTCTCAGTAGTAGCACGGAGTCTGGAATTGTGCCCAGTATATGGCAATAGGCTCACCCCCTATTACATGGGACTGTGAAACAAGTGAATTTATTTCTGCAAATAGGCTACAAGGCAGCACTTTTTACACGTCAATTTTATCAAGCGAACGATGAGGTCGACATTTCCTAACTGACTACTCTGAGAAGAAATGCCGAAACAAACTCAGAGTTCTGTCTCATAACATAAATAGTGAAAAGCAAGTGTTACATTGTACAGTGGCATAATGTACACCTCTGCCTAACCCCTTCGGGGATAAAAGGCGTGATGTTATATTATGTTATATTATGTTATGTAACTCAAAATAACAATTATTTTCTTTCTTTGGAGTGCATGCCACAAATTATGCCAATAAGTAGTAAATAAGGCCTGATAGGTCGCATGTGGGTGCTGGATTTAGGTTGCTTCCAGACGCCCCATATATAGAAGACATCGGGGTAGGCCTATCTTCAGTAATGGATGTCTTGTGGTAAAGTAACCTATGGAGTTTCTTGCTCGTTCTTCTCCATAGGAATCTACACCTTAGAATGAGCAAATAGCTTCACTTTTCTTGTTTGTTGACGTTCAAAAGTGCCGTTCTGGCCTAATTGAAATAAATGATTTTGACTTTGATTTGACTTTGACTTTAAATATTATTAAAATGATAAAATAACCCTTAAGTACCACGTTGATACTTTATTTATCTCATGCCTGTTCTGACGTCGTACTTATGACCACTCGACCAGTGGACCAAAAGTCTAGGTTCAAAGTTCAAAGTTAACTTGGATTCAGACCAAGTTACGTAACTTAACCACTAACTTGACACCCATGCTCTCAACTCGAGCATTGAATCTTGTTTTAAAGTTACTTACTGTGAACCTAAATCGATTCCATTCGATGAAGATTAGTGTTTAGTCTGGTAAAGTCAATTTGTAGACGTTTTGTCATTAACTAAAATCATGGGTTACTCACGTGAATATACTGAAAAAAGCGCGGTCGTCGCGACGTCGCGCGTCGTAACTGAGCTGCGCGACGTCGCCGCGACCGCGCACGCTGCTCATGAGGAAGAACCCCTCTGTGGTTCGAAACTAGTAGAGCTTTTCTCAGTATACTCACGTGAGTAACACGTGATTTTAGTTAATTTAGTATGTCTCATGATAGTTATTATAAAAACGTTTTGTCCTGCTTTAAAAACTGGAACTTCTACTTTCAACTAGAACATTATCACGAATCACAACTCGGTACCTATGATGTTGTATTAAAGAACTCAAAGCTCCCATTTCTCAAGCATGGGGGTTTGAATGCTGGTAACTACAAGTTCAACAAAAAAGATGAAGGCAATAACAACACCTATATGGCCATATTCTTGTTAACAATTTTCCACTACAGTCTAGTCCGCCATGTCACTGTGTAACTCTAGGTGATATAAACAGATGGCGTTGTTAACGTCTTTTAATGATGGTACCTATGTTTAAGACTGACGATAGTAAGTAGATATGAAATGCTTTCAATATAACGTTGTCTTTCATATCAGTTTTCTGTAACTAAGTATAAACAGACAAAAATTAGGAATGTTTTATATGGATTTACAATTTGTGCGTTTTCTACAAATGTCCTGGTTCGCCCAATGGAAATTTAAAATCCAACAGTTTTCTAGTTGCTTCAGACAGACATCATGCCATGAATCTGAAATAGTGTTGGTGGTGCTTAAAAGAGTTGAGAGAAATTGCTCTGACAACTAGAGGCTAAACATAAGCATTTAAGGTGCATGGCATACCTACTTAAACAGTTGTTCCACGTGGAAACCGAATCCACAGTAGTCGGGTGTCCAGCAGTAGTACAATTAAATAGAATAGCCTTCATACCACTTTAACTGACTCGTGTGACTGAGAGTGACTGTTTCGTTGGCCGACTGGTGGCCAGTACAACTGCCGGGCAAGGGGTCTCGGGTTCGGGTTATTCCCGGGTCGGGCAAAGAATAAATGGGTTTTAAAAAAATCTTAGTAGTAGCACGGAGTCTGGAACTGTGTCCGGTATATATTTTTTTTTGTTTTTTTGTTAATTTTGTTTCTGAATTGTATTAATTTTTATTTCTTGTATTTGATTACCTAATTAGTTTGTTTTTAATTACCTAAATAATTGCATTTATATATATAAGTTTAACAGTATAACTTAATGGCGTAAGCTGTGGTGATGTATATGTACATTTTCTAAAAAAAAAAAAAAAATATTGCAATAGGCTCACCCCTATTACATGGCACTCGTAACATAAATAGTGAAAAGTGGGTGTTATATTTTACAGTGGCATTAAGTGCCGTAATGTGCACCTCTGCCCTATCCCTTCGGGGATAAAAGGCGTGATTTTATATTATGTTAAACGTCATACCACTTCCTATACAAAAACTATTCACTCGATAATGCCTAAGTAAATACCCTAAATATTCCAAGTATGTTTACACGAACTATTTGTACTATGTTACTAAAAAACGTTAAGTTCCGACAAGCATTCTTAAGAGGGAAATAATTAGAACATACAAACGATTTTGTGTGTTTAAGAAACTCAAAAAAATCATAACAACGTCAATATTGTCGATTGGCGTAGTGGCTGGGTATTCATTTGCTGCTTAACGTGTTACAGTTTCCATTCCTTCACAGAACATGGTGTGATGGTGATCAATAAATTGATGTTCCGGGTCCGAATGTGTTTGTAAATGCATCTAAGATCCGTGGGCGCCGAACCTGATGCGGCGGCCCGCTCAGTCACTGCTCACGTCTCAGAGAGTCATGACGAACCGAATAAGCGCTGCCTCCTCACAGCCCAGCCATCGTGACGGATACTCCGGGCGTCGGGGATTGCCAGACGATCTCCGGCCACCATAAGCAAGGGCCTGCGGACGGTGAGCATGGGTAGCTCGCCGCCCGACCAGACCCAAGCGTGCGGCGCGTCGCGTTCCACGCGCGCCTCAAAGAGCCATCAGACCACTATGGAAGGGGCCCAATACAGCTGATGCCGATACGGAGCCGCGGAGGACGTAATGGGTTGCCTTGGCTCCGGCTCGAAGGGCAAGAGTAGGAACGGAGTGGTTCTTAGTCAGTAAGACTCTGGCACTCCCTCCCGCTCACCCAGACGGGGAAGTCTTTCGCAACGCGCCGTATGCTCGGGTCTGGTTCTAGTCAGGCGGCGAGCTACCCTTGATCGCCGTCCGCAGACCCGCACTTACTATGGCTGGAGCTGGAGATCGTATTAGTCTCTCCCTACAAACAATCTAAAAAAATATCCAAACATTAGAATTACATTTTCTAACTGTTATTATTTGAGTAGGAAAATTCCACCAAATGCCTTTCCTAAGACTTTTTCACTTACGTAATATTGTTCTACCCAGGAATGTATGCAAAGCAACGAAATTAATTCAATTAAAAATAAACAGAACGTACACGACAGACAAACACGCGTTTGTTACAGTCTTAAGGTAAAAGACCTTTGAATTTGAATACCACATTGGTGTACTAAATAGTTCATTACACCAACTGACATGTTGTCATAGCGACAAGCTTTTATTTTTCGACACTAATAAGTTTATTAGTGATTTTAAATTGACAGAGAAAGGTATATACCTTTCAAAAACATACAGACAAACTATTGCTATGCTGATAGCATTCAATATTAACACTGTTATAAATAATATAACAGTAACTAGTTGTAGGGACGAATCTGTGCTGTCTAGGCAACCTAACAGTACAATGATAAATTTTAAATTTAATAACAATATTAGCTTAACCAATAATAGCAATTTAAACTAGATCATAAGACAACAGAGTGTACCCCCATAAATAATTTTGACAGGAAGGTATGTTCTGGCAAGAAAAAACCCACTCTTAATAAACATACACATAGTCAGGGGCAGCACAATCTAAAATTATTTCATGT